AAAATCACCTTTTCTCATATTCCAGGTCATGTTATTAAGGTTATTCTCATATAAGAACAGATCGCAAAACCTTACAGGCTGTCGCATATGACGGAAGGCCCATTTCTAGCCTTAATATCTCAAAAAGTTGAGTTCAGGCATGAACACCTGAAAAATGTTTAAAATCATAAAGAGAATTTCAAAAGCATTTTTCATTAAAAAAATGTTTGGTCTGCTTTCACTTTTGGGCCACCCTGAATATCAAAAAAAATTATAAATTATATTAAACTTTTTTTAAAATTATTGTTAATACTCTGTGATAGTGAAATAGAATTTTATGATAATAACATACTTGATGAAACGCTCAAATTTGATCTGGTCATGACCACTGAGAAAGATATACGTTCGCATTTATTTAAAATAAAATCTAATGCCTGTGGGCATGATGGTATTACGCCTAATATGATAAAACTGTGTCTTCCTGTGATTGGCAAATATTTAACGCATTTGATTAGTTCTTGTTTGGAACTTCATTATTTTCCCTCTGCATGGAAGCAAGCAGTAATTGTTCCCTTGGTAAAAACTAATAACCCTTCAGCTTATTCCGACCTGCGCCCAATAAGTTTACTTCCGATTCTATCAAAAATATTGGAAAGGATAGTACATGATCAATTGAAAGAGTACTGCTCTGAGCATAACATAATTCCAAAAAACCAGTCTGGCTTCAAAGTAGGGAATAGCACCACCACTGCCCTTAAGGTGACTGATGATATTGTTGAGGCTTTGGATCGGGGTCAAGTAGCGGCTCTTGTACTGGACTTCTCCAAGGCTTTTGACACTATCAATCATCCACTTTTGATCTCAAAATGCGAATATATTGGTTTTTCTCAAGCATCTATAAAGTTCATTACTAGTTATCTCATGAATCGTATGCAAAGGATACATTTGGACAACTCATATTCGACATATTTTGTATGTGATATCAGGGGTCCCTCAAGGCTCTGTTTTAGGACGGCTATTGTTCTCCATTTACATATCAGACATGTGTAAACTGATACGCTCCTCTGAAGTGATGATTTTTGCGGATGATACACAAATATGTAAAACTTTTGATCCAGATGACTGTGTAGCAGCTGTTGACGAGTTGAATTGTGACTTAGCCACTATTGTTAGTTTTTCCAAGCATAGCTCCTTAACGCTAAATACCTCTAAATCTAAAGCTGTTCTCTTTGCACCAAAAAACAAAATCATTAATTTCAGAAATATCACGACAGTGCGCGTTAATGACACTTCTTTAGTTTATGAGGATCTTGTAAAAATTTGGGTGTCTTACTTGACAAGGATTTACGATATCGTGAGCATATATCTAAATTAGGAAGAAACTGCTTTGTTGTACTAAAAACATTGTTTGGTAATAGGCATTTCATCAATTTCAAATTGAAAAAACATCTTTGTGAAAGGCTAGTTCTCTCAAAAATCAACTACTGCCTTATAGTTTTCTATCCTTACTTAGATCAAGTCTCAATTCGCAGACTTCAACTGATTCAAAATTCGTGCTGTCGCCTCTTCTACGGTTTAAGAAAATATGACCATGTTTCACACTGTATTCGTAGTTTAAAATGGTTAGATATTATAGTTCTTACGAGTATTTTATCTTGAAGTTCATTCATAATTTGATTATCACGGGAACTCCCGAATACCTCTTCAAAAAAATTGTTTTCAGGCAATCGGTTCGAGATCGCATGCTCAGGTATGGCAAATTATTTAGATATTCCATGGCACCGTACGGTTTTATTTACTCGCTCTTTTAGGTATAATTGTGTCAAATTGTATAACGTGCTACCTAATGCATTCAAAAATGTATCTCAAACTAAATTTAAAGTTTGTGTCAAGCAGCATTTGCTATCAAAAATGACTCTTAGTAGTAATTAAGTAGTAGTTTGTAGTTTAGATTAGTAACCGCCAGAAAATTTTTATTTGACGTGTTGCTGAATCTGTTTATATTTTCTATATTATGTCTTGCAATATTTTTGTTTTCCTTTGGTTAGCCACTGTATATACAGGGTGACTTCGAAGTTGAGTCATTTATTTTAACAGTGAGTAGATCTGATCAAAAGAAATGTTTTTTTCCTTTACCATTTTTCTGGTAAAATTAAAGTAACAAAGTTATAGCCCCTTGGAAGTTTGAGTACCGCCCTGTCTCAATAATAATATCATGTGCTCGTGTTTGGCGACAACGGATATAATACACCTTATCGGTTCATCGCATCGGAAGCAAAAATGCGAAAGAATTTGGAACGATGTTTTTACAATTATTTCATTCAGTTCAGTTATACATACAGTCAGTGTCAGTCGCGTGTGAATAGTGTCTGTTGCGTGGCTCAAACGAAATAAAAAATGGCACATGTGTATGCGGATCGGTTTCCCAATCGAGTGCAACCAACCCCTCGTGCCTTTGTTAATGTAGTACAACGGGCTCGTGAATCAGGTGACTTAAGACCTCACAGGGCACCTCACGATCAAATACAGGTCCGCACTGAAATACTTGTCGGGAGGATACTTTATAAAACAAGGTAAACTTATCTGGATTTCCGGATTTCAGTGGCCAGTAATAAGCACGTCACAAGGTAAGGGCTGCTTGCCTCATTCCCAAAATTTACGGTATAAAAAAACCCTAGAGAGAAAAGACTGCTTAAAAATCTACTCTATATTCTCTCTATTCTCTGTCTGTCAAAACTTGAAAACAAATCCATGCACATTCTCCTTCATAAGAAAAGATAAAAACTTACTAAAGTGATATACCCTCAGAAAGTTATCCCTTATTCTAAAATAAGTAATAGCAGCTCAAAAATCAAAATCATGATCAATGTAATGTCGTAAGCCAAAAGACGGCGACATGTAGGCACTGCCACATATTTGAATACGTAAAATGCCAAACAAAGTCAAGAACACTCTAAGAATTTCAGTCAGCAAACAATCAATATATTGATATCAATTAAATACCCAATTAAAATGATATTTTACCTGTTCACATCAGGACTTTTTGTCAAGGGTAAGGGATGGCTTCCAACAAAATCGGCTGAGAATCAGCTACAAGGCAGCTACAAATTATCTGAAAATTAATGACTCAACTTCAAAGTCACCCTGTATATATACATGTTAATTGCATGTATACTAAGTGACATATAAATCCGAACACCCAGTTTAAATGGTTTTATTTTAATAAAATTTTGTATAAGTACTTAATGAAGCATAATAAGTAAATGATAAAAATTTCAAAATGATTGCACTGCTTTAAAGCCCTTTGACCTTTAATAATGTGTGGATGCACCCTGATGTGCTACGCATTCTCCAACGCGCCTAGGCATGCTTCTGATCAGGTGGTCAATGTCCTCCTGTGGTATCTCATTCCAGGCAACCACCAACTCCTCTCGAAGTGCTTCTAGAGTCTGAGGAGGACGTTGCAAATTGAGCAATCTCCTACCCATCATATCCCACACGTGCTCAATTGGGGATAAGTCGGGAGATCTTGGTGGCCATGGTAACAATGTGACATCATTATGTTGAAAGAAGTCTATTGTGACTCTTGCAACATGTGGTCGGGCATTATCTTGTTGGAAAGTTGGATCTGCCAGGGTGTCAAGATAGGGTAAAAGATGGGGTTCTAGAACTTCGTGGATATAACGCTGCGCGTTCATGTTACCTCTGATGAAGATTAAAGGTGACCTGGAACCATAAGCTATAGCACCCCAAACCATAACTCCAACAGTGTGATGAACATGTCTTTCAACAAAAAACTGTGTATTCCTCCATCGTGCATGCCTAAATAAAATCGAGACTTGTCACTAAAGACAATACTGTTCCATTCCTGATCCCAGAGTGACCGTTGTCTGCACCACTCAAGGCGATTACGTCGGTGTTCTCTAGTTAAAGGGAGGACCCAGTGTGACCGGTATGAAAACAAGCCAAAACTTCTCATTCGTCGGTAAACACTTCGCATGCCAATAGGTCTTCCGGTTCTGCAAACCATTCCTTTGCAATGGACCTGGTAGTGGAGAAACGGTCGCTTAAGGCCAATAATCTTAGGCGGCGATCTTCACGGTCTGTTGTTCTACGGCGGCGTCCAGTGCCCCTTGCTCTTTGCATACGGCCTTCTCGAAGCCATGCCTGACAACACCTAACCACAGTGTCTACACTTCTTTGCGCTCTAACTGCAATTGCCCGAAAAGAAAGTCCAGCTTCCCGAAGTCCCACTATACGGCCCCTATCAAACTCACTAAGTTGACGAAATCGTACAGGTCTCCGTACTCTAGGCATCGTAACCGATCGTAAAGGATGTCAAGAACCAAAATCCGCCAACGTTGATTCTTTACTGCGGCTGAAATATTCATTTTTAGAGCGTTAGTGAATTAAAAAAAGCAGTATAAAAACCGGAATGTCCAACTGATAAGGCTGAATGAACATTTTTTCACTTGTTATTTACAGTAAGATAAATACATTCACCAACTTTTATTAAAATAAAACCATTCAAACTGGGTGTTCGGATTTATATGTCACTTAGTATATTTACATTGGTTCACAACCATGAAAATGATAGGGTTAATTGGAAGAGTAGCTATTTAGCTAAACTTCGCCCGATACTATGTAACTTTATAAATAAAGACGAATTATTATTAATAGGGAAAACTGTTTCATTAAAAGAATCCCTACGGACAATCAAACGACGGGTTCAAACTTGTACTGAAGGCGGATCAAATGTTTCCCTGTTTCTCATCCAGTCCCGGCGCCTCCTGTGTTGCCTGTCTCATCACTTAATTTAATGAACTCACATGACCTCAGTCTTTTAGCTCTGGATGCCAACGGACAAGTCGCAGCTTGTTCAAATTTACCACATCTCAGTGCAGCAGACTATCAAACGTAAATAAACTAATGGATGTAGATATCAGTTCCCTATATGAAAATTCGTTCACTGTGTTTTTGATCACACCTCATAAGCTAAAATAAGTTTTCTTTGTTTCCAGTGCACTTGGGGGATTCCGTAGTAGTGAGTGCAACGATACTGGATGATGTCCTCCACAACACGGCGGCAGTGGTGGCGAACTGTTCCTCCTGCTGGAGGAACGCCTCCTCGAGCAACTCGACAACGAACGACACCGCAGTGTTGGACGACGAGGACGTGCCAACGACCAGTACAGTTGTTATCATATTCTTATCTACTATATTAGGCCTTATGATTCTTGTTACCGTTGTAGGTAAGTACACACACGGAGCTCAAAAAGCTACCGACCCCCATTTTTTTGAGAAAATACTTCTGAAACAAAAAATGTCAACTAGATTGTCTCTGCACCTCCAATGCTTTCATTCAAAATTTGCTACTTTCAAAGTAATAATATGAACCTTTAGATATGTTCACTTAAGGAAAACGTCAGGTCGTAGAGAGACTCCACTAGATGGCATAATGTAATAAACCATAACCTCTCCTGAACCAAACCGACTGCAGTCAATTTGAATGTATATCGATTGTGTTACATATGATGCCTTTGGCTTATATATGAATAGCAGAGATATATTATAATGAATATATACCAGGAGGAGGATAGGGGGACATAAGATAAAACCGTTTCACAAATTATTAATATTATTATTATTATGAGATAGGACCTCTGAATTTTGGATGCTTGAATTGACAACGCTGGCTTGGCTGGCTGATTGGATGATCTACTTTGATCAAAATCCGCTTCACTGATCTGTCTTGTGCTTTTAAGAAATCACTGTCCGTTTGTAGCATCTGCCAAAGTATGTTATCTGAGGTGCAATAGGGTAACTGCTCAGCTCTTTTATATATCTCCATAAGGTATCTCTCTAATTTGAGAATGCCACTTTTATGTATGCATGGGAATACAGCCACAAGTCCGTAGTTAGTACTTAATTCAAGTATTTTCAATTTCACATCTATAGAAACATTCTAGCTGAAGCCAATGATTGAAATCGGAGCGTTAGCTGCTCAATTAGCCTCAAGATCTCTTTCGTCCAAAAATCTAACATATCATCTTCAAAATTCTTCGTGATTCTAATACGTCCTCACCAGTGTAGTCGTGTGAAAAGTAACAAAGTTTAAGCGATTTTATTTAGGTTTTTCTACGCCACGGGGTTCGATTTCTCCAAACTACAAAAATTTTCATCCTTAGCATACCAGAAACGTTGTCTTAATATACTAAGTGACATATAAATCCGAACACTCAGTTTAAATGGTTTTATTTTAATAAAATTTTGTATAAGTACTTAATGAAGCATAATAAGTAAATGATAAAAATTTCAAAATGATTGCACTGCTTTAAAGCCCTTTGACCGTTAATGATGTGCGGATGCACCCTGATGCGCTACGCATTCTCCAACGCGCCTAGGCATGCTTTTGATCAGGTGGTCAATGTCCTCCTGTGGTATCTCATTCCAGGCAACCACCAACTCCTCTCGAAGTGCTTCTAGAGTCTGAGGAGGACTCTTGAAACATGTGGTTGGGCATTATCTTGTTGGAAAGTTGGATCTGCCAGGGTGTCAAGATAGGGTAAAAGATGGGGTTCTAGAACTTCGTGGATATAACGCTGCGCGTTCATGTTACCTCTGATGAAGATTAAAGGTGACCTGGAACCATAAGCTATAGCACCCCAAACCATAACTCCAACAGTGTGATGAACATGTCTTTCAACAAAAAACTGTGGATTCCTCCTTTCACCACGTCGCATTCTAACCCTGGCACGACCATCGTGCATGCCTAAACAAAATCGAGACTCGTCACTAAAGACAATACTGTTCCATTCCTGATCGCAGAGTGACCGTTGTCTGCACCACTCAAGGCGATTACGTCGGTGTTCTCGAGTTAAAGGGAGGACCCAGTGTGGCCGGTATGAAAACAAGCCAAAACTTCTCATTCGCCGGTAAACACTTCGCATGCCAATAGGTCTTCCGTGTTCTGCAAACCATTCATTTGCAATGGACCTGGTAGTGGAGAAACGGTCCCTTAATGCCAATAATCTTAGGCGGCGATCTTCACGGTCTGTTGTTCTACGGCGGCGTCCAGTGCCCCTTGTTCTTTGCGTACGGCCTTCTCGAAGCCATGCCTGACAACACCTAACCACAGTGTCTACACTTCTTTGCACTCTAACTGCAATTGCCCGAAAAGAAAGTCCAGCCTCCCGAAGTCCCACTATACGGCCCCTATCAAACTCACTAAGTTGACGAAATCGTACAGGTCTCCGTACTCTAGGCATCGGAACCGATCGTAAAGGATGTCAAGAACCAAAATCCGCCAACGTTGATTCTTTACTGCGGCTGAAATATTCATTTTTAGAGCGTTAGTGAATTAAAAAAAGCAGTATAAAAACTGGAATGTCCAACTGATAAGGCCGAAAATTTTTTCACTTGTTATGTACAGTAAGATAAATACATTCACCAACTTTTATTAAAATAAAACCATTTAAACTGGGTGTTCGGATTTATATGTCACTTAGTATATTTCAACAAAATGCGATCAGTACTCTCCATGTAATAGGCGGGCTAATGATAAGCGGACAGATAGACCGACAGACAGGCAGTCGGAAATAAGAGACATGTTTTTATTGATGCCCATGTCATATAGCATCCAAAAAAACATAAGATCTCTTTTACAATTATTTTTTTTTCGCGATTGCAATACTTTCTCGAAATAGACATAGGAAGTCCAAGAGAGGTTCACCTATTTTCTCCTTCACCGCCTTCCAATACTTATACAGGTGAGAGGCCTGGTCAAGTTCAAACATTACGATTTCGCCTTATACGAGGGGGTACCAAAAAAAAAACTGCTAAATGCTATTTATTTTCAACTTTTTCATAAAGTAACCTGATCTTCAAAATACTGTCCACTACAACTGATACACTTGTCCCACCGGTGCTTCCACTGCTCGAAACATTTATTGAAGTCTTCCTTAGAAATGCCTGACAGCTACTTCCTCGTTTTTTTCTTGACATTCTCAACGTCGTCAAAGCGGCGTCCTTTCATGCCCAGTTTTAACCGTGGAAATAAGAAAAAGTCGCACGGAGCCAGGTCAGGCGAATAAAGTGCGTGAGGCAGCGGAACCATCCAATTTTTAGCCAGAAACTGTCGAACAGCGCAGGTGCATTATCGTGGTACCTTGAAAAGTGACATTATGCCGATTTTTTTTTACATTATGCTGTTTTTTTTGACATTATGTAGGTTCTTCTACAAGATATTAACTTAGCACTTAGTTGTACGTGTTGCCTAAACGTCATGAGGCTTGTTATCAATATTTGCCTCTGATGTGATGTAAAATCTGCTTATGAGACGGCATTACTTGAGGTCTAAGCTGTAAGTTGTATGTGCTGATGATAATTACATTGGGTTCTTGTCTCAAATACACGTGATTGAGATTCAAAGCTAGAAATTAGTTGTGCATACACTTTTTCTTATCCATTCTGTAAATTACATATACAAATTTGCTGAATTTCAAAAATGAGAGAGATAAGAAATATTTATATTTACCTAAGACTGTCGAATTGCAAGCCATATACATGCTAACAGTAACAACACACAACGCGGGCGCGGTGATGATTGCTCGTAATTCTCCTCAGTTTTTCGTAATTTATAACTTTGAACATAACTTCTCTTCAGAAAGCACAATATAAAAACAACCCGTCGGGCACAGCCAATAGATATACTTCATTGTCATTGACTTGACTATTGCTTCGTTTCTGGGTCATAATCGCAGCACCAAGTCTCATCACCAGTGAAGATCTTTGACAGAAAATTTGCTGTTGTTTCAAAGCACGACAAGTTTCAACTCGGTGGCTACCGCCGTATTAAAAGACGCCGCTTTGGTATCAAACTATAGTTGAAGCTGCTCCTCCAATGTGAACTACTTTGCAGGATCTATTTCACGAAAAGCAATATAATCCTGTACGTGTCTGATGTACTAACTCACCCTGCTCGAGTCTATTTCTCAAGACAGGACTACTCATTTATTTCACGACTTGTGTGTATCCCCAACAGCAAAATCACCTGCTGGCGGAGTTTTTTCAACATGCCACCCATGTCAACCTTCATTGTAAAGCGTATTGGTCTCTAGACGCTCATTATTTTGTCGATTCGTTCGATTCGGCATTTCCCAAGACGCAACTTTGGATTTTTCGGGCTATATACGAAAAATTCCTTCCTAGGTGCTTGTTGACGGTCGAATGATGGCTGAAAATCACTTGGTAACCAGTTTTTTAGGTCGAGTTATGTTTTTGCTTTCCACTTTCCACTGTTTCACAGCAATAAGCGGAATGTGCGGGGCGAAAACCCGCCCCTTAATAACAATGAAGATGTTGGCAGGCGGTCACCGGGAGCATATTTGTTTGGACAATTTAAAAAATTAGTTTATTTGCTCCGCACGGACTTTTGTATGTTTTTTGGGTTCTTCTCAGTAGCAGCAATGGTGCCATCCGGTTGGAGATGTATTAGCCCATATTTATAAAAATAAACCATTTACTTTGAAGTAAAAGGTACAAGCAAAAGGTAGAAGTAAAAGGTTCTGCTCTAATCCGTATTCATAATCTCTACCTCTTCCTTGCAAGCAAATGCTTCGGGAAAATAAAGTAAAAGGTATGGAGATTAGCGATTTCGACATGACTTGCAGCGTGCAATCAACGCGTATGTGGTCTGTAACTGATGGGGTTGATCTTATTTGTCTCATAATTAAAAGCAGTTCGCACGTCAATTGATGTAAAGAAGATCCATCTAACTTATTTGTACAGCTATTTTAAAGTGAATAAAATATTTAAAATGTCTGACACCGATAGTGAACAGAAAGTTACCGAAGATGTCCATAACGAGATGATGTTTATCGCTGAAAAAGACCAAGCATTTCCGGAGATTCTCGAGAAATCTCAAGTTCCAGCTATGAAAAAGAAGAAAACTGCTGCATTAACTGATATCGTTAAGGAATACGTTATTTTATTTGGCAAGGAGATGGATATTAAAGCTTTTATGAAAAAAGTGAACAATATGAAAACGCGACTGAAAAATAAAACTGACAAAAATAGGGAACAAGCCCATTCGTCTTTTGTCCTGGGAGAAAGTTATGTTAAAGGCTATGGATGTGGACATAAATCCTGTACTAAGTCGGGTACCAGGTGAGAAATAGATTCAGGTCTTTACTATTACCTTGTAGGTACTTATTATGCATGTATATTTTTATTAGGGGCTCTTGCAATTGGC